TTTGCAGCATTTCATCAGATTGATAGAACTTTGTTGCATTACTGTTTCAGTTTACAATCGATCCATTGACTGATTGATTGAGAGGTTGATCGTTGATTGTGGTTCATGGATTGCCTGCAAGATTAAAGATTCGTGTAAACGGTCAACTTTGGTCTGTTATATTCCAATTTCGATCTGTAAATAGCCCCCAAACACCTCGTAAAAGGCATCTTGGAGCGAAACTGCTTGGAATCTTGTGAATTAGATTTTTGGTTGCCGCAAGCGCTATTAATGGTTTTATTGTTTATTTTCAGGTGCAAAGTCTGTGACTATGGCAATAGATCCTTTTCAGTCACGTGATCTCATTTTAATTGGTCGCCATATCGGTGCACACCACTTCCTGTAAACATACGACCAGGAGTTGTGATTGTGATAAAAAAAAATGGTGATTGTGATAAAAAAAAAATGGTGATTGTGATTAAAAAAAATGGTTTTATGCACGATTTTTTTCGTTACGATCCAGATTGGGAAATGTGGTTCTGTTGAAAAGCTTCAAGCTGATCTTGAAGTTGCCATCAAGCAAGACGAGAGAGCCAGAGGTCGTGAGCTGAAATGTGTTGCAGAACGTGAAAGGCAGTTTTAGAAGAAATCGAGTCCAAGAAACAAAAACTTGAGGAACCAGGCAAAAAGGTTATCAACATTTTCTTCGATGTGGAATCAGCAGTGGAAGAGGAAAGTGTGAGTGAAACAGGAACAGCGACTCAAACAGAAGAGATTGAATACTTATTTTGCACCCTAGCTGTGAAACAGCCATTCAATGAAGCTTATTTTGCCCATGACAATGACAAGATCCAGTTTTACACAGGATTGCCTGCCTATGACGTGCTGTCAAAGTTTCAAGAGATTGTTCTCACGCTGATGAAACTTAAGTTAAACATGCCAATGCAGGATCTTGCCTACTGATTTGGAATTTCACTAGCAACTGTTTCCAGAATATTTTCCGCTTGAATTGTGGTTCTGTCTGTTTGTTTAGCACCTTTAATAAGGTGGCCAAAATATGAGGATTCATGGAGAACCATGCCTCAATGTTTCCAGGCTGTTTTTGGCAACAAAACTATGGTAATTATCAAATGTAATGAAGTGTTTATCACTAGACCTTCAAATCTCATGGCCCAAGCACAAACCTTCTCCACCTACAAAAATTTTGGTTGGAATAACTCCACAAGGGAGTATTTCATTCCACTCAGACGCCTGGGGAGGAAGTACCCCAGATAAGTATTTAACTGAGAGGTGTGGTATTTAGAAAAGCTAGTACCTAGTGATGGCAGACCGTGGCTTTACTTTTCAGGAAAGCCTTATGTACCACAGAGCTGAGCTTGCTATACCAGCATTCACCAAAGGAAAAGATCAGCTAGACCCAATACATGTTGAGGGAGCCTGTGGAATTGCAAATGTCCGAATACAAGTGGAAAGGATGATTGGCTTACTAAGCAGAAAGTACTCCATTCTTTCTGGAATTTTACCTATTTATTTCTTACAGTGTGACCCTAATGGTTCCCATGAGGCTCAAATTCCAATGATCGACAGAATTATTACCGTGTGTGCAACTTTGACAAATCTTTCCAATCGTATTGTACCTTTGGATTAAAGTATCAGTGTATTTAGAGATCTTTCTTGTTATGTGTTGTCATTGTTGTTATTGAGTGCCGTAAGGTGAACAGTGTGAAAAGTTTTTCCAGGATGATTGACAAACTTTCTTGTACCTTGGTTAGGACCACTGACTTTGCCAATATATATCACATTATAAGAGGTTTTTAGTTAAGGAATGTTATCAGTTAGGTAAAAAATTAATTATAACTTTAAACATTAATCAGAGAGGACCATACATTGTAAATATTTATTTTACGTTCATACATTCAATTAGATTTTCAGCCTTATTGCGGGCGACCAGCAGAGCCCGCAATCCTAATCTCAACATTGGTTACAAACGCATGCGCGGCAGTTATATAGCCTTGCAGTGACTCGAATTTAGCGAAAAAAGTCGTCCTTCCAAATATTTGTCCCTAGGGACACTAAGAACCAATGAAATGAAAGGACGTAATTTGAGCATAGGCGCTTTGACCACGCGAGACAAACATGAAGCAGCAGTAATTTGAGCACCGGCACTCTGACCGCTAGAAACCAACACCAAGCAGAAGACAATTCTCACCAAAACACAGCTGTTTCACGTTCCATAGTCAACGATCTTTAATGCAGTTGAAGGGCTCAAATAATATGTAAATTTCGCCTTCTTGAAGCTAAGAATGTCAAGAATCACGTGCAGTTCATGCAGAAGTGGCGGTCCATAAATTGGAATGCACACAACACAATTTTATCACGTGGACGAGGTCTATTTTGTCGAAGAATCACGTGCAGCTCATGCATAGCTGGCGCGCCGTCCAATCAAAATCGAGCGTGTGAACTTGTGATCGGAACGTTTCCTGTTCGTGTCTGTTGTTGTCGGGTATCGAAATCTTCCGGC